TGTGTGTGTGTGTGTCTGTGTGTAGACCTTATATAACTTCAGAGTCGTTCTCGTTGACGCAGTCTGCTGCTCTGAACTTTTGACCCCAGATGTTAACCCTTTGTTTCCTGCAGGGAGGAACACGGCGTCGACAGGCGTGAACGACCTGGGTGAGCTCCGCCTCCTCCGCGTTAATATCTGCGTCCTTGATGTGAGATATTGATCTGGTAAATATTTATACTCGGTGGAGACGTTGACGCCTGAAGACAAACGGTTCAGCTCATAAAACTCCATCAACTCATAAATATTGATGAGCGTCTTAATGCAGCATGAATGGAAGCTGCGGGGGGGGGGAGGAGCTCCTGCACGTCTGAGCTCGTGTTTATTAAACTTCTGAGCGAAGGAAGTGGCTTTGATCTGCATCTTTAATCCTCGGGGGGGATGACCCCTTCGGTACCTGTGTGGATATTTACGGCTCCTCCCTTTTAGAGCCGAGTGTCCAGGAAACAGGGATTCTTCATCACATCGTGCGATTATGAAAAACAGTAACTGGAGGAGAAGCTGAGAAGAAGCTGAGAGCAAGTGTCTCATTACACACTTTACATCATTATTATTATTATTATTATTATTATTATTATGTTCTACGTCCTGTAGAAGAAAGAGGAGGGAGGAAGCTCGTTCTCTGGATCAACCTGCTGAGAAGCTTCTTTAAAATACCGAGAGGCCGAGAAGTGACGAGCACACGATCCTGTCAACTCAGTGAAAATCTATTTCTGTCCAGAGAATAAATTAAAGGTGCAGTGTGTGGAATTTAGTGACATCTAGTGGTGAAGTGACATGTTGCAGCTGAACACTCCTCCCCTCCCCCTCTCATTCCAAACATGAAGAAGAACCTGTGGTTTTAAAAAAACATGGCGTCCTCCGTAGAGAGGGTCCCCTCCATTTAAATATAAAGTATTTAAATATAAAGTATTTAAATAAAAAGGTCTTTTCTGGGGTAAAGAAAACTACGATTCATATAATTTAGATGAAACGAGTGAAAACATCATGAGGATGATTCATCATGAACTTTCACCTGAATCTGACTCACTGGAGCTTTAACACTTTATTTGTGTTGTTCTGTTGATTTAGTTTTTGTTTTATCTTTTGTCGTCTGAGTCGATCAGTTCTGACTTCTGTTATTTTTCAACTTCAAATGAATTAAAATTTTAATAAGTGAGGTGTAAGAAGTAAATAAATAAAGACGTGTGAACGATGATGATGATGAATGATTCAAATAAACCAGAGGGACAGTTCGTGGCCTCGCTGAAGGTTTGATGACGTTAAATGAGAGATTCCAAACATTTAGTTCTCTGGACGTCTGTTCTTCAGGATTAACGACCTTTGAAAACTCCCACGTTATTAAAACCTGTATTAATTAACAATGAAGAGCTTCATTAATATTCATCGGGTTCTTAGTGGATCAGAGAACACGAGCAACAAACAAACGTTCTCCTCTCTTTTCATTTTAATCTGTTCACTTTCTCTCAAATATCATTTCTCCTGCAGGAGTTTAAATTCCTCCTCACACTCCGCTCATGTGTTCGTTAGAGTCCGTCTGAGAGAACCGGAGACACGTGGGGTCGGTTCCTGCTGTTTTAAGAGACCTCAGCTCGTCAGGTTCCTGTTTACCGTCAGTTTGCACAGAGCCGCTGTGGAGGTGAAGCTCAGTGTTTCCCTCTTTGACGAACCTGCACGGTGGATTCACTCGGTGTTACTGAAGCTTCCTGTTCACACACGAGTCACATGGATCAGCTAACGAGGACACGTCTCACTCTGATGCTTGTGAGCTGAGAGGAGCAGACCGCTCCTGCTGCTCAACAAGTCAAACATTAAATCTCAGAAGTCATGAATCTGTCCCCTGAGCTCCTCCAGATGTCCGTGTCTCAGATATTTGTTTCATCCTGTAGTTTTAACCCCCCCGACTCTGGGACGTCCTGCTCACACTGGACCGTGACGACTTCATGCGGACTTCGTCGGGGGAGGGGCCGGTGGACGGCGTCTCCCACTCACGCTGCAGAGTTCATCTCTGGAAGCAGCAGGACTGAGTTCTTCTCAAGGTTCCTCGTTACTTACGGAAGTTGTTGCAGAGGAATTTAAAGCGTCAGTAACTAACGACGGTGGTTTGAGACAAACTGCTGCAGAATATTCTGTTCACGGAACTCTTCATCAAACCGTCTCCATCTGAAGACACGTCTTTTCTAGTCCAGCTGTTAGAGACAGATGTCCACACACACTGAGGCTTCCAGATGTGGAGCTCAGACACTTCTCTCTTCACTTCCTCTTCCTCCCTCAGTCTCTCCTCCTCTTCTTCACTCTCCACCTGTCACATCCTCCCCTCCACCCTCCCCCGTCCCATCATTCCCAGGGAGCCTCCATTAGCTTGTGTTACTGTTTTAACTGACACACACACACACACACACACACACACACACACACACACACACACACACACACAGCACTTCTAAAGTTGCTCAGGAGCTCAGGAGCTGTCAGTGTGATGGAGTAAAGAGCTCGTCTGTTCTACACGTCTGTCTTTTTCCGTTCTTTTACTCCCGTCTGTCAGCCTGTCCTCACGTCTCTATCCGAGTCTGTCTGTCTGTCTCTGTGCAGTCCACGTGTCTCTGAGGACACAGTTAATCTCAGTCCAGCGGGTCCTTGGTCGGTTTGGACGACTCGTGACGTTCAACGACCTCTGAAAACAATCGACCCAACAAAACATCCTCAACGATCACGAGTTGCTCGGAGATTAAGTTTCAGTTTGTTTCAGGAAGTTTAGAGGAATTTAAATAAATGAACTCTCTCAGATCTGAACTCTGTTTTGATGATGTCATTCGGAGTCTGTGCAGTGCAGCTGTCGTGACGTGAAGCAATGTGTGATGTCATCTTCTACCAAACACTTGGTTGTACATGTACTTACAGAATAATGAGTTTTTTTAATTCTGATGGTTTGTGAAAATCCAGTTTCACGGTATCATCCAGATGTTTTCTGTGTAACAGATGAAAACATCGTCAGTGAAGAAGATTAAAACCACTTTGTGAATATAAGTCGTTGGTTTTTGTTCATCATGAGTTTATTCTTATTGTTGCATCAGTTCATTATTATTGAATTATTTTTATTATATATATTATATTATTGTCTTTAAATGTGACGTAATGATCAGGTGTTTTCTTCTATTTGCTGAAAAATGACAGTTCAGAGAAAATATTCTTTATTTTTGAGCTGAATAATAATCCATAAATTCTCAGTGTTTTTTTTTCTCAGCTCTTCAAACTAAGTTATCGAGATGAATTAAATTAAATTAATTTTTCCAGATCGTTCACTCACTACTGCACAAACAGTTTTCATGTCAAGGACGAGGCAGCGTGTCGAGATCAGTCGATTCTTAACCGAGGTCAGTTTCTAACAGCCGCTGCAGCGTGTCGCCTTCATTAGCCACGGTGTCCTTCAACCAGCCACTGAACTCACCACCATCGCTTACACACTCATCTCATGTCAGTGCCTGAGGACAAATCCCTTGTTCATTTAAATAGTTTTCATGGGACGGACTCCGCAGCGTCTCACGGCTTCATATCAAACGTTTCTCTCTCCGTGGTATTTTTGTTCCTTTATTTGAAAAGTGCAGCATTGACCTGCAGCGCGGTGATTTGTTGCTGAAGGCTAATATTGGCTCCATGACGGCGAGGCTAAACTGGGGAAGGCATGATGTTGACAGGACGAACAAACAGAACACGCAGCGATAAGAACGTGACGGACGAGAAGGAGCAGACCAGAAGTTCACTGGACTCTGTTTACAGCTGGAATTAAAACACGTCTGCATCCAGCTCTGATTTACTTTAACTTCCCCTGAAGAGTTTTAATCTACAAAACAACAACACGTTCAAAGTCTGCGTCAGTGCAGTGACCTTTGACCCTCGACCCCCCCCCCGTACTCACCTGCTGCAGGTCCACTCCTCCCTGAGCCACAGAGAACAGAGGGTGGGAGCTGAAGTCCGACGCCTCGAACACCTTCGGCAGAGACACAAGCAGAGTCACAGTTAGAACTCATCTCCTCTCGATCCCTCAGATTTACTTTAACTGACACTTCAGATCAGCGATGCTACGCTAATGAAAACCCAACAATCACAAAATACTCATACGGTCGTTTACTTTCATAGAAAGATAAAAACAGAAGCAATAGAATGCAGAGTTCCTCAACACACTGTGAATAAAGATGGACGACACGTCTTGTTTCACTGAATCTGTTTCACTGTGAAATTGATTCAACTTCTCCGACGTGGAGATTTTTCTGTTGTCTCAGTATTTGGGACAGTTATTCCGGTGTTGACACCTCGGAGCTTCGCGCCGCTCCTCCACAGAGACGAGTAACTCTCCAAACAGTTTCTGTTGCAGTCCGCTGATGTGTGACCGCGAACAGACAGATCTCAGCGGCGCCGCTATCTCAGGGAAAATCATCCCGAGCTCACGCTGACCACATGACAACCTGCCGCGGCTGAGCGCACACAAAGATCTCTTCTACCAAGTAAAGTGCACAGTGTGCGTCCCTGAAAACTCAGCTCAGCTCCCGGTGCTTTGAAAAACCTTACGGCGAAAATGTGTTTTAAACTTGGATCGTTTATTTAAACAGGCAAAGATGAGGAGGCGCATCACTTCCTGCTGCACTCCCATTGGCCGGCTGGACACAGGTCAGTTTACATGAGGACGACTTTTTCATTTCTTCAAATGACGACGCTCGATGGAAGAAACACGCGAAACACCTCACGTCATGAGACGCAGCGTTTCCATGGTAACACACACACACACACACACACAC